GGAGTTGGGCCTGAACACACATAAGATCATTGCTTTAAATCTGGAAGGAACCGAGAAACCATCTCATCTACACCCCCACCCCTTAATTTTATAAATGAGGAAACTGAAGCCCATAAAGGTTAAATGACTTGCCCAAGGCCACATAGATAAGAAGGATCACAGGCAGGATTTGAAGCCAGGTCCTTGACCCCAAAGACCAAGTTCTCTCTACTCTCCTACAAGGCCAGTCATCTCTTCCGTCCTCTATTTCACACTGTCTCTCATGAACAACTGGATTTTCAGTCTCTTTCACCCCTAGGACAATAGTTTTATAAGGTGCATAGTCTCTTGGTAATGTTTTGGGTTTATGTATTTAATGAGCAATTTGATTTACCTGTGATTAGGTTTCCTAATGTACACAAAAAATTCCCCTATGAAAAAAGCAGAGAGTGAGCACCGGTAAAGATGAGTTGGAGTCTGCCTCAAAAGCAGTTAGAACTATACACAGTTGGTGTTGTGTTGAAAACAAAGGTTTCTCTAGACTAGTGGCAGAATTGAGTGAGTGCATTTATCAGTGCATGAAGTTCCCAGTGGTGGGAGCTGGATGGACTGGACAGTCTCAGAACCAATGCCACTTTCCACTCCGGGTGTTTGGCCTTATGGGATGAGGTCAGTACCTGCCACCAGTTCCTCCATCCTCAAGTCTTAAAATTTCCTGGTTAAACTGCTGGAGCCAGAGCATTCCCTACTAGATGTAAGAGAACCCGCTTGAGCTGAAGGAAGCCACACTGGACAAGACAGCATCTTGCCAGTTACATGGAGCACTGACTTCTCACTCTCAATCTTTGGTTGTGGAGATGCTAGGTATCATTGCACCTCCATCTACTTCTGCTTTTATACAGCTCTTCTTCCCCATTCTAGAGAATGACCAATTTGCAGGTACCATTAAAATAAAAGGAGAACATGACCCAGTGACCCTCTGCGAATCCGACTGCATTATGCTAAACAGATTAAGTGTCCAGTGCGCAGTCCAAAGGCTTGAGGAAGACATTTCTAGATGGACCCACCCCTGCGAGAAGCTGTAAAAATGCCTATGACTGAACTCTGGTGTGAAAAAAAAAACTTTTTACTAACCCTCTGGGTTATTGCAAACATTTTTCTGTTCACATGAAATATCTATCTAGAGTTGATAAAGAAAATTGGAAGGGAAATGACTTTCTTCTTAGTTTACATATAAATCATAATTGAATTGTTACTTTTTATCAGAGCCTACTAAATTTAATTTTGTTAAAGATTATCCCAATGGAAGAATTTTAACAAAAGACAAACATCCCAGTGTTTAGCACAGTGCTTGGCACATAGGAATAAATAAATGCTTGCTGTTGTCTGACCTTCACTGTCTCAGACAAGATATATTGTTTTGCTGCATAGCAGAGCATTTTGTGAGGGAATACCACAAGCATTTACTATAGAAGGACACCCCAAGTTCCCCTAGACATCTTCAGTTATTGGAGTCAGAATCCTAGAAATCCCAGAATCCCAACATCTTCAAGTTGGAAGGGGAACTCCAAGACCGTTCAGCCCCATCACCAACTTGGCTAGGAATGCCCTCCCAGTATTCTGGGAAAGCAGTCATTCAGTCTTTGTTTGAAGTCGTCCAGTGAGGGGGGAGCCCACCGCCTCCTAAGGCGGACCACTGCACCTTGGATGGCTCTGGATTTAAGGGAGTTTACTTTGAAGCAAGTCTAAATTAGCCACTTCAGTCCTATTCTCTAAGGTCAAGACGAAAATGTCTAATTCCTCACCATTGGGATCCCCTTCGAGCTCTGGAAGCCAGCTACCATGCCCACCTCCTCATCTTCTCTTTTCTAGATTTAACATCCCCACTTCCTTCAGTCCATTTCAACATGCCCCTTCACAGCTCTGGGCACTCTTCTCTGAACTCTCCAGCTTGTCAAATCCTTCCTCAAAAGATAGAAATGCTTCCTAAAACTAAACCAAACATTCCCGATGTGTATATAGGAACACAGAGTTAGGACTGGAAGAGACCCCAAGGCCCCTCTAGTCCAACCGTCTCATGTTACGTATGAGGAAACTGTGGTCCAAAGAGACTTGGCCAAGGTCTCTTAGGGAGGAGGCTGGACTACAGCAGAGCAGAGCAAAATCATCCCTTCCCTAATCCCTTTTTAAATACAACCCAGTATTAAATGTGTTTTTCCAGCTATCATGTCCCATTGCTGACTCATAAATGCATTTCAAAAGTTGGAGGTGGGGTAAGGAGGGGAGAGGAAGGTTGCTGATGGGAAATAAAGGGAAAATATCTGAAGAGTTCATGTCCAGGTTAGGAAGGGTAGACAGAGAGATCATCAACTGACCTAAAGCTTAGAACTGCTTCATGAAGGGGGTAAAAATGGGAGAAGGCAGGGAAAGAGCCTGGAGCAGGTCTTCCAGGACCAGGACACTGCTGCGGAGATTCTCAGGGGTGGAATTAGGACAATGCTTGAAGGGGACCTTGACTAGGTGTGGCTAAAGTGAAAAGACAGCCTGGGGTAGAGTCAAACACAGAGATTAACAGATACTCCGGGATACTGAAGTAATTTGATTTTAAAGACAGACTTAGGTCAAACACCCTACAAGAATTATTTCCTTCCTCTTTTCTTTGAGGACAGAACCATGCTGACACCTATTAAAGTTTTCATCTATCACCACTTCCCCTTGTGCTCCGTAATTCACAAAAAGCAGTATGGCAAGAGTTGTATTTCTCTTATTTGTCTCCAGTGCAACAGAGTTAGGCAATGCTATGGTAGGTCCCCTCTGTAGAGTTACTGACACAGAGAGGAGAATCCTGTTTGAACAAATGCATTTGCAATGCTCTGCCTGACGGAAGCAGGTCACGTCCAAAATCTAGAAAATGGTTCATAAACCTAAAGCTGTCGCTGACCTGCACCAAAGGAAGTGAGAAAAAGGATTTCCCCTAGGAAGCAAATGTGTGATGAGAAAAAGAGGGGAATCCTTCATGTTGTAAGGACAAGAAGATAGATAGACAACACCAGCACCTACATGATGGTAATAGACCTAGGAGAAGCTAATCAGGCAGTCAATAAACATTTCGTAAGTGCCTACTATGTGCCAGGCACTGTGCTAAGTACCCAGGATACAAAAAGAGGCAAAAGAAAGTCTCTGTTCTAAAGGAGCTTACAATCTAATGGTGGAGACAGCCCGTAAACAATTATGTGTGAACAAGCTATGTATGGGGTAAATAGGAAATAAGAGAAAGAAGGCACTAGAACTGAGGGGTTGGGAAAGGCTTAATGTAGAAGATGGGATTTTTATTGGGATTTAAAGGAAGTCAGGGAAGCCAGAAGGCAGAGATGAGAAGGGAGACTGTTCCAGGCATGGGGGGCTGCCACAGAGAATACCCAGAGCTGAGAGATGGAGGGTCTTGTTTGAGGAAGAGCAAGGAGGCCAGAGTCACTGGGGGGACTGGAAAGGTAGGAGGGGGCTAGGTTATAATGGACTTTGAATACCAAACCGAGCATCTTGTATTTGATTTCAGAGGCGATAGGGAGTCATTGGAGTTTACTGAGTAAGGGGTGACATGATCAGACCTGTACTTTAGGAAAATCCCTTTGGTGGCTCAGTGGAGGAAGGGTAGATTGGAGAAGTGAGAGACTTAAGGCAGGCAGACCCACCACTATTTCAATATTTCAATTGTCCAGGTATGAGGTGATGAGGTAGTGTCAGAGGAGAGAAGAGGGCATAAGAGAGACGTGTTTCAAAGGTGAAATCAATAGACTTTGGGAACAGATCGACTACGGGGAGTGAGAGACAGTGAGGAAGGTTGTGAGCCTAAGGGTCTGGGAGGTTCACATTGCCCTTGACAGCAATAGGAAAGTTTGGAGGGGCAGGGAAGGGTTTAGGGAGAAAGATAATGAGTTCTGTGTTGGACTCTGAGTTTAAGGTGAGTTAAGGCAGTTGGAGATGTGGGACTGGAGGTCACCGGAGAGGCTGGGGAAGAATAGACATTGTCACAAGGAGAAGATAGTTATCCCCCATAACAATGTATCCACAAATTCAGAGATCCATTGACAGACAGAGGCAGAACTCTTCCAGCCTGTAAGATACGATCCTCTACGCACATACATAAGCGGCAGCATGGTATAGCAGAGTCAGGAAGACCTGGGTTCAAATGCTGCCTTTGACATTTACTAGCCTGTGTGCCTATTGGCAAGTTAGTGAATTACTTTACCTTTCAGCCTGTTTCTTTATCGGTCAAACGAGGATAAAAACATCCACAGTACCTGTCGGTCAGGGTTTGTGTGAGGTCCTAATGAGATCATGTAAATAAATGGTTTTTTTACCCTTGAAGTGTCACATCAAGTCAGTTATGATGCTTTTGTTAGGGAGAAGTTGACGTGCATTGGTAGAGAATGTTCCCACCTGCTGGTCCCTGTCTGGCCATTCAGGCTGGGGGGTTAAAATGCAATAAGGTCCTCAGGACCATAGAATGTAATAAAAACATGCGATTTTAAATTTGAAGGGGGATACAAAACTAATCCCCTCCCTCTCTACAGTCACCATGACAAATGGACACATCATTCGCTGGGTACAACAGGGGTTCTGCTAAAAGTTCTGACCCAAAGTCTCCCTAGGCTGGGCATTTTTATGCTTTTAGCTACAAGAAAGCAAAAGCTTTCACTCCCCTTAAAAGATCAGCCCAGCCTATATAGCCGGGCCCATAGGTGGGCCTCCTTGAAAGACTGGGACGGCTAGTAAGTAGGGGCAAAAAGCAAAGGAGGATTTGGAAGAGGCTTTTGGCCTGCTCTTGCCTCCATCAGCCCTTGGCCTCTAAATCCACAGCCGTATGAAACGTTACTATGTATATCTCCCTGTACCTGCAGATCTAAACCTTCCAAGAGGCACATTTCTCTCCTACTCCTAATTTGGGGAGGACATTTCATTATCCTAACTGCTGGGTTGCTGAATTTATTAAGTCTCCCACTGGTAACATTTCAGATAAATCTGGAAGCCCAAAACCCTTTGCCCCAAAGAACACTTTATTTGAGACTCCTGAACTCTGGAGAAGCAAAGGGCTCTAGAGAGCTGGCAGGCAAGAATCGCAGTGGCCCAATGGTAACAGCGGATGTCACTTATTGGCCAAATAACGATAGCTAACATAATCTATTACCAAAAGGAAGACTACGAGGCAGCAAGGACCACGCTCCAGGCATCGTGGCTGGAAAGTGAGGGAGATCTGGGTTCATGGACTGCCTCTGATACAGACTGGGTAATCCCAGCCCGGTCATTTACCCACTTAGTGCCTCAGGAAACTCTATAGCTCTACTTTGCCGAGCAGAGGGACAAAAGGAAGAGGAAATTTTCTTCAGCAGCCCCTGTTTATCTGGATGAAATAAAAAATCTCGCCGCCGGCCCCCCCCCCCCCAATATTAAGGGCTGACACCTTCATTGGCCTTTAAAAGTTGCAAAGCACTCTTCGGACAGACACCATCTCAGAGGAACCTCAAGTCAGTCCTGCGAGGGAGGTAGTACAGGTACTTTATCTCCTCGTTTTAAAAATGAAGACGAGATTCAAGATGTTAAGGAATTTGTCCAGGGTCACACAGCTACCATGCCTTGGTACTCCTGGCTCCAGGTCCCTGGCTCCACACACTAGGAGAAAAGAAGTTTTGCAAAAATGAGGCTGGTGAGAGTGAACTGACGTCCTGCTCCTCTCTCCTCTGTCTCTCTCTGCCTCCGAATCTCGGGCACCCCGAGCACTTGCTCACCCACCCCCTTCCTTCCCCTTACCCCCTCCCATCAGCTACTCATCAGCTCCCCCACCCACCAGGTGTGCCTGTCACCTAGCCCGCCTCCTCCCGGACACTCGGCGCCCGCAGCTCCAATCAAACCCCCTTGGATGACGCCACGTCGTCGGTACTTCGGCCCAATCCGGGCGGCCAGAAAGCGGCAGCGCCAAGTTCTCACCTTCACCTGGAGTCCTGAACTCCCAGAACGTCCACAGCCGCCTCTGCAGTCGCCCCCGAGCCAGGCCCCTTGACACTCCAGGCCCCGGGAGGGAGGCGGAGGACAGACAATGCCTGAAGCCGGGGGAGCGGGGGACCCCGCCCTCCCCTCAAGGCCAAGGGAGCAGCCCGCCTCCTCCTCCTCCTGGCGGGGTTAGCGGCTCGCGCGCGCCAAGCTCCCTGGGGCCAAGGTCATACAGGAGCCTCGGAGGGACCCCAAGGGGAGGTAGCGCACCAGCCAGCTGAGCTGTAGATACTTAAGCTAGCGGGAAAACAGTCTGCATCTGCCCCACCCATCCATCTCCCTCCCTTCGGGGGAGCTGGCGGCCGGTGACACCCACTGCAAGGGGATGGGATCCCGAAACCCTGCGCCTTCTACGGAGCATCCCCTGGCGCCAGGACACCTGCCGGAGAGAGGTTACTGCCCCCTACCTTCTTCTGCCCTAGTGGAGTAAGCGCTGGGAAGCCACCCGCCCTCCTCAGCTATCCCCAGCTCCGCCTCCGGACGAAAGCCCAGCAGAGCGCCCATTTCTTCTCCGCTCTGCTCTCCCCTGAAGAGGAAGCCAGAGTAGGTGAGAAGCAGCCGAAGGTGGGGGATTAGGGTGGGGGCCGGGAAGGGAGCGAGAGGGCTTTTACTCTGCAGTCCCAGGCTGTCTGGCTGCTCCACCGCCTTTTCAAACAGCCCCTTAGTTGTCAGAAGACTTTTGCTCGCAGGCCTGGCCTTACACGCCCCCAAGATAAGTGTGTGAAGAGCAGCCACTTCCCGGACCGGCAGCTGAGGCCTTTCTGCCAGTTTTCGGAGAACAGAAGATGGAAGAACCTGGCCTTGTGGTCTCCGGTCGTGGCTTGGCTTTGAAGTGGGAGAGAACCTGCCTTCTGGCAATTTTAGCTGCAGGTGGCCCTCCCAGGGACTGGCAGTGTAACAGGTGCCGGCCAGCTGGAGAAGAACGCCCCAGCCAGTAGTACGATGTCTCTCATCCAGCCAGCCTGAGAAAAACCCAAACCTGTCCTAGACTTAAAAAAGGATTTGTTTCCTCAAGCAAAGTTTCATTCTCTAGCAGCTAGTCCTTTAAATACAAAACTCCCAACAGTCCTCCAAAGTCCGCAAAAGTAGCCTGTGACTTTTGTCCTCATGTTCCTAGATTTGGAGAATTTGTGACTTGCCCCAGTGTTCCAGCTAAAAAGTTGATAGACCTATCTGGGCTGGAAACTATTTCAGGGCAGGGCTCTTTCGGGTACATGCCAGGGGCTTCTGATATTGTAGAGAAACCACTACTTCTGGTATCTGAGGACTAGAGTTGGAATATTATCCTTTATACCTAGTATCTGTAATTCTGTGAGTAACTCATAGGGAACCTCTCTGGTTCCCTCATCAATGAAATGAGGGGTTTGGACTGGATAGCCTCTGACGTCCCTTTTGACTCTAAAAGGTATCCTATAAAAAAAGAAATTTTTGAAAAAAATCACTGTCACTGCCCCACTTGGAGCACCAAAGATCCAAAGAAATCAGCTGTGTAAAGCCCTCATAATAACAGGTCGCATTTCTATAGTGAGTGCTTCCTTATAAGCATCATTCCCTGAGATTGAGGTAAAACACTCACCAGGGGAGAGCAGATTCAGAGGGCAAGTGACTTATCTTCAGTCAGAAAGGGCTGCACACAGGGAGGATGGGTCAGAAGTCAGTTATAACTGAGTTCCAAGCCCCCTGCTCTTTCTGCTACAACTGGAGGCTGCCTTAGTAGAATGTTAAAACTCCGAGTAATCACTGTTTACCTCCAGAGTTAGATGGGGGCTCTCTTGCTTTCATTCCTAAATGAGGCATTTATGTACCTTAAGATCAAGACTGAATTGAAACAAGCCTAGTCATAGGTTCAAAGTTCTTTAATTGGGTACTCTCTCTCTCCTTTTCAACATCTTTCATTCAAGACTACTCACAAGTCTAAAGTCTGAGAATTGTGATGCATTTTTTTAAACACATGGTACCCAATTTAAACTTTTTTTAAGGCAATTGGGGTTAAGTGACTTGCCCAGGGTCACACAGCTAGTAAGTGTCAAGTGTTTGGTCTCAGGTCGAATTTGAACTCAGGTCCTCCTGACTTCAGGGCCAGTGCTGTATCTACTGTGCCACCTAGCTGCCCCCACCACCCAATTTAAGATTGTGCAGCTGTATGCTGGAGTGTTTCTACTGGGGAGAAACACTCTCATTTTACTGATCATAGATATAGAACTACAGGGGCCTTAGAAACTCTGTTCCCAAGAGTTCTTAGTCTTTGTATGTGTCTGTGTATCATGGTGCCCTTTGACAGTTCAGCTGAAGTCTATGGGTGCTTTCTCAGAGTAATGTTTTTAAATGCATGAAATAAAATAAGGTAGTAAAAGAAACCTAACTATATTGAAAAAATAATTATACCAATATTATTTTACAACGAGTTTACCTATCCCAGTTTAGCCCCTTATCTTGTCCAACCCCCTGAGGCTGCAGGGATCCAGGGATTTGCCCAAGGCCTGATGCTGACCAAGCAGTAATCTCCTGGAAGAAAGCCTCTGACTCTGCCCCCAACCCCAGCCCTGTTTGCTACTAATGTGACTTTGGCCAAGTCCCTCAATCCACCTGAGCCACTAGGATTAGATGAGCTCTAAGGGCCATTCCAGACCCTAAGTGGGAGAGCTTCCATTCACAACCAAGTCAGTGCACAGATGCTCCATCCAGGGGCCCTTCCCATTCTACCACTATCTCCTCTGTGGGGACAGAGATAAGTGACTGAGCCCAACTCACAAGAACTCCCGACAGACCTGGGCTATAATATAGTGTCTCAGGGTCTACCCCACTCTCGGCTGCTCAGCTACACTCTGAAGCCCCCTTATGCCAACTGTGAGAGAATGTGTCAGGTTAAGGGGGGGAGGGGGGAGAAGGAGAGGCCTTCTCCCAGAGCCAAGTACTCTGGGTACAAAGGCCTTTTTAGACAGGGCAGAAAAGTTCCTAGTCTCTTAAAAACTAGAGCCTAGTGCCCTCATTTTTTTACTTGGGTATAAATTGCAGTCTCCTATTATCTATGGGCCAGAAAACTAAAATCAGCAATGTTTGAAAGTCCTGCCCCGCCCCCTCCAATTTGTCATCCTTCACCGGACCAGGGAGCCTGGGCCAAGCTTGGTTAAGCACCTGTTTCTCATGGAAAGGCCTCCAGGGCCGGAGCCTTCATCTCACCAGGGGTAGTGCAAAGTCTGCCCATGCTGAGTGGACAGACCTGTCTGGTTTCTCCCCCACCCCCACTCCCTTGAACTCCCAGGGACCTTGTTAATCCAAGTGACGGGAAGCTTTCCTCCAGTTCTTCGGAACCCTGACACCCCCCTCCCCCACCCCGAATTCCCCTTTCGGTAAATCAAATGTTTAACCCGCCCTTTGGAGGCTGATCTCCTGGGAGGCAGTCTCCACCTGGTGGTGCGGTCACACCTCTGCGAGCCCAGAGGCCCCCAGGGACAGTTTGTTTGTGAGCCAAGGGGAGAGCAGGCGACCCTAGGCTTACGGGGGAGAGGGGGAGCTCATCTGATCCTGTTTCCAGGTACGAGGGGTTGGGGGGGAGGATGAATTTGGCTTCAGGTTCTTTCGCGGAACTCATATCCCGTGGACTGCCTGCACCCCTCATTCCCCGCCCTCACCGTCTCCCGGAGATTAGGCGCACGGGTGTAGAGCAGAATGGAGCCCAGATTGGGATGGGGGGGGAGCCGCGGAGGGGGTGTGTCAGGGAGGGGCGGGGGCAAGAAGGAAGAGTCATGGAGCCTGGCTACCTCTCCCTCCACAGGGCAACGCCCCCGGCTCTAGCTGGAGGGGCAGGAGTGGTCGAGAGGAGAAATAAGTAGGCACCTGGCCTTGGCCGCCCCGGACCCAGAAGCGGGGCAGCGGCTATGGCTTACAGCGGCGGCTCCGGCGGCGGCAGCAGCAGCAGTTCTGGTTCCTGGTGGAAATCATTCGCCAATAGCAGCTGGAAGAAAGGCAAGGACAGTAGTGGGGGCGGGAGCGCAGGGGCGCAGCCTCCATCCCCTGCAGGCCCGCAGCCCGGCTCCACGGAGCCCTCTCCGCCCAGCCCGGACTGCCAGCACCCCGGCCTCCCGGGCACCGCCGACCCCAGGCTCGATCGCTTGGGCGAGGAGAAATCAGGCGGCAGTCGCCGCAACCTGAAGATTTCCCGCTCGGGCAGGTTCAAAGAGAAGAGGAAGGTGCGGGCCACCCTGCTCCCGGACGGGACCAAGCCCCAGGAGGACTCGGAATTTCCCTGCGCCCCTCACGATGACAGGCAGTAGCCCAGGCGCCCCAGCGCTGCCCTCCAGATTGCAGATCTTGGGGGAGCCCGGAGGTGCAGCGGGACGGACCTCCACCGGCTCTGCTCCCCCTCCCCCAATCTGAACTTAATATCCATATTATGCCCTGGGAGCTTTCATTACTGTGTCGATGGAAGAGACAGTAGAGTTCTCAGTATTTCAGGACTCAATGAGGCATCGACTTTTAAGAGTAACCACCTGCTATTTGGCGTTTATTTAATATAATTATTTTTCAGAAAACTCATGGGTTCCTTCCTTCGCCACCACTCTCTTTTTTATTTTGAGGGGAAGAAGAGTGCATTCTCAAATTTAGCTCCACCAAAGAGGAGTTTCCATTGTGATTCAGAACCTTCTCTCTACAAAGTGCCAGGACAGTATTTCCTGTATGGGAAAGGCACTTTAAAAGTGTCAGTAGCGGCGGTGGTACCAGTGTGCTTAGAACCACGCCTACCGAGAAGGTTTTTAAGCAGTGCGGGGAGTGGAAAGCGCCGAATCTGGAGTCAGATCTTGGCTTTGCATCTAGGTTCTTCCATTTGTGTGACCTTGAGCAAGTCAAGAGCCTGTAGGCCTCTCCTCCTCCTCCTCCTCCTCCTCCTCCTCCTCCTCCTCCTCCTCCTCCGTAAAGAGAACGGGTCAGACCAGATGACCCCTGAGCTCTTCTGCCAGCTCCAAATCTGTGATTTTGGCAGTCTGGATTTCTTTCCATCCTGCAATACCAAATGGGAATGCCTCTTTTTAGTGTGGACCATTAAAAGTGGCTTGCAGTGTCAGACTTTAAGGTGACTCCTGTTTCTGTCTTTCCCCCCCCATCTCGAAACCCATCCAACTTAAAACAGGAAAGTCTTGGGAACAGAGAGTTAATCATTTGCCGGATATATTGCAGCTATAAGGCTCTAACTAGGAGAACCCTTTCCAGAGACAGCAGGGGCAACAGCTGTAAATGTGGAATGATTTGCAAATCAAATTCTGGAGAATGGAGAAAGGGAGAACTAAGCCATGATCCCCAAACTCACCTTTTATTTGGTAGCATTTTTCTGGGAATATTGTATTTCCCATTGCTAGTAACCTAGCCTTTTTGTCCCCCATAAGTAGGCAACCTTTGAAAGACTGACAATGATGCAGAGAGAGAAATTATTTCCAACAGATGGACAGTACCTTTTACATTTGGGCAAAGGAGAATTTTTGCTCTGCTTCTTTGCTTCAGATGATTTCTGTATGCTGAAGCATGCTTTTGTCTAGTTTGAGAAGCAACAGGTGAAGCTTTGCAACAAAAATGCATCTGTTTGCTTTGACCATGTACTTCAAGAAAGAGTAAGTGAATCCCCCCTGCTTTCAGGGAATGACAATAGAGTTATTGTAACAGGAAGAGGCTGAGGGAACCTTTCTTTCCCCAGCCCACTGCATTTATAAATAGGGAGAAACTCAGATGAAATACTAACTTTGGTGACAAGGCTTCCATTATTTATAAGCCAGGAGCTGGATGAAATCTCTGGATTTGGTGGGAGGAGGGAACTGAGGGGGGTGTGTGTGTGTGTGTGTGTGTGTATACATATATGTGTGTATGTGTGTGTATATATGTGTCTATTTTTAAAATTAAATTAGGTCATTGGGGAAGTCAGACATGGAAGCTGTCATCTGAGTTGAAGCAGAGAATAAATAAAAAATATCAAGTTGATAAGGAAGGAACTGAGATGAATCTCCCAAAATGTTGTTCATGTGAGAAAATAGCCAGAATAGACATGAGAAATTCAAAAAGATGATGTTTTATATGTGAATACCCACAGACCAACTACCTCTCAAAAGGAAATTCTAGTTGACCTCAGTGATGGTGAGCAGTTACATGCATTGAAATACAGTATTGAGTCCGTAAAGTTATTATTTTTTAAAGATGTTGCTTTTTTTTAGGCATCAGTTTTCATTCTGAGAATTAGGGTTTTTTGGAGAAGGGGGTCTTTGGATATATTTTTAAAAATTTAACAAAAAGAAGACAAAAGAAAAGATGGGGCTGATTGTTGTGAGAGAAAAAGAGGAGGTCTGCCAGGTCAATCGGAGTGGTTTTAATTGGTGATAAAGTTGAGATTGTCTGGGGAGAGGTCTAGAGAGCCAGCATCATGTACTTTAAAACTTCAACCCAAAGTGTCAGTAGAAAATTAAAATGATGATAGCAACTATTTTCAGAAGAAATATTTAATGATCTGAAATACCACCTGTAAGGGCTGTTTAGGAAAACAGTATTCTCTCACAGTATTACTAATGTGGAAATATGTTTACATGATTGCACATATATGGCCTGTATCAAATTTTAGGGAGGGGAGGAGAGAGAATTTGGAGCTCAATTTTTTTTTTTGCAAATGAATGTTAAAAATTGTCATTACATGTAATTGGAAAAAATAAAATACTGTAAGAAGGGAGGGGAATGAAAGGAAAATAGTAAATTAAAAATGTGCTCATTAAAAAAAACCAAAGCAAAAACTATATAACTTAGGAGAAGTGAAATGAAAAGTGTTTCATATGTTAATATTGGGGCTTTATGGTATCATGGAAGGAATGTGTCTGAAACTGGCTCTGTGCCCATGGACAAATCACTTAGCCTCTCTGAGCCCTCAATTTCCTTATCTATAAAATGAGAGATGCTATTAATACTTATAGCATGGACCTTATATCTATGGATCAAATGATAGGATATGTAATGTATTTTGAAAACCTTAAAATGTGTTTTGAAGGTTATCATTCTTTTCTTTTCAAATGCCCCAAATCTATCTGTGATCTTCATTTGAGAGTTTCCACTGACCATGCACATCCATTCCTGCTTCTCCATCGAGACTTTCATCCATATCCTTTCCAAAGTTCAGCACTGGGGATTCACCCAACATGCTGGAGGCTTGTATCATTTTCTCTTGGCTTCTCCAGAGAATAGGACTGACTGCTCACCTGTGCACCTGTCCCCTCTCAGCCGTGACCTGGGAACAGCCCGTCTGCTTCTGCCATCATTTACTCTAAATATCACTAAATGATCATCAGGAATGTTCCTGAACTTACGACAATTTTCCCCAAGTTTCCTTCAAATGAAGCAATTCCACTGGGTTCCCATCAGCTCAATGTTTTCCTTGTGTTCAAGTCTGTGAACTGCTAAGTAACATAGTAGGAAAGGGACAGAGCCTGTGGTTTCAGTAGCGTAGAGAACTTCCAGGTGAGGCAACTTCCCCCACCAATGCTGGTCATCATCTTCTCTTTATGCTCTTAGAGAGCTGACTAGAGCTCTAAGAGGGAAATGACTTGCCCAGGGTCACACAGCCCATATGTGTCATGAACCCAAGAGTTGCTACTTAAAGGTCAACTCCATCTACTCTACCATGATGATGCCGCCTTTCTCCCTTTTAATTGGAAAGAGTTTAAAACCTTGCTAATGACACTCACAGATGCCTCGGGTTAGGAGAATGACTTGCCCAGGTCACTCTCCAGGGCCGTAAATGGCAGAACAGTTGCCAATCTGCATTAATGGAGGGAGGTTCCTCCTCTAGGAGCCATTGACACTAATAAAATCACAGACAGCCAGAGAGAGAGGGACAGAGGTAGTTACTAGCAATCCTGGTCTCCTTTTGTTTATAACATAATTTACAGCTGTATAACTTAATATAGTTAGAGGAATGTGTTTCTATACCTCATAGAAGTTTGCCTTACTTTGACACAGCCCTGTGAAAAAAGCTCAAAAAGAATGATGGAAAATCAGGGAAAGAAACTGTCCTCAACTGGCAGGACTTTAATTAGGTAAGTGCCAAAAAGAAGAAAAAGTGGGCAGTTGGGATTTTTCAGCCCTCTTCAGATATGGAACAGCATGCATTCAATTTTTGAAGCAATGAGATGGATGGTCCAAAACAGCTTCACACAGAACATAAATTAGATTTAACATAAACTAGAAATCAATAGGAACTAATCCTGTAATGCTACGAAGGACAATGATGAGGAATCTGTTTGTCCTGTGCACATTCACCTCCTACTTCCCCACCCACCAGTCCTCTGCCCTCTGGAGGCCCCTTACAAAATGGGGGCCATGGGGGCTGCTCACCTTACAAGTCACCTTGCTATTTCTCAAAGCCTCCTTGCTGTCGCTGTTGATCTGATTCTGACTCTCCTTGTAGTTGCATGTGTACTTGGGTGATTTTACTCACCTATGATGTCATTGCTGATGTCTAGATGCCTCTGTTTCTGTTTCAAACCAGTCAACAGCATTTATTGAGCACCTGCTATGTGCTGGGTGCTGGGCTAAGAGCTGGCAATATAAAGAAAGGCTGTCTAGGAGTTCACAGTCTAATGAGGAAGACAGGTATAGACTGGATCGAATCTCAGAGGAAGGAAGACTGGGAAGGGCTTCTAGCAAAAAGTGGGACTTTAGCAAGGACTTGAGGGAAGCCAGGAGGTGGAGATGAGGAGGGAGTGCATTCCAAGCATGGAGCTCAGTCAGTGGAAAAGCCCAGAATGTGAGCACAGCAAGAGGCTAGTGCACTGGATCACAGGGAGCATGGGAAATGGAAGGTAGAAGAATATTGGAAAAGTCAGAAGGGACCAGGTCGTGGGGGGCTTGGAAAGACCAACACAGGGTTTCATCTTTGGCCCTTGGGGCAGTTAGGAACCACTAGAATTAATTGAATGGGGTGGTGGTGGGGTGACCTGGTCAGACCTGTTTTTTAGGAAGACCACTTTGACAGTTGAGTGGGGAAGGACTCACAGGAAGCAGAACCACCAGCAGGTGATTGTATTAGTCCAAAGTGTGATGACCTACCCCCAAGGTTGGCAGCAATAACAGAGAAGAGAAGACTGGAGGAGATCTCCCATTGGAGAGTCGTTATGAAGGAAGAATCAATAAAACTTGGTATCAAATGAGATACAGTGATTAGAGAGAGTGGGGAGTGGAGGATGACATCTAGGTTGTGAGCCTGGGTGAGTAGGTGGATGGTGGTACCCTCAACAATAATTGAGTTAGAAAGAAGGAAGGATTTAGGGGGAAAGATAACGAGTTCAGTTTGGGGCATATTGAGTTTAAGATGGCTATAGGACACTCAGTTTGAAATGTCCAAGTTGGAAATGTGATACTGTGGGTCAAAAGACTGTCCTTGTTGTTTGTCGTTTCTTCTCAAAGAGGACCATGATGTCAGGGAGATGATGCCATGACAGAGTCAGGTGGTAGATTAAGGCTGGATAAGTAGATCTAAGAATCATCATTATAGAGGGTAAAATCAAATCTATGGGAGCTGATGAGATCACCAAGTGATAGAGGGAGAAGCAAAGAGGGGCCAGGACAGAGCCTTGGGAGACACTCGAATTTCTCAAGGCTACCCAGGATGAAGACCCAGCAAAGGAGATGGAGGAGGGTCAGAGTTGGAGTTAGCAGAACCAGGATAGATAGAAAACCTCAAGGGGAGAGAATGTCAAGAAGAGGGTGATGAACAATGCCAAACCTGCAGAGATCGTGAAGTAGGAAGATGGAGAAAAGGCCATTGGATTTGGTGACTAAGAGATCTTTAGTAACAGGAGAAAGCAGCATTAGTTGAATGATGAAGATATAATGTAAGATATTTGTCCTAATCTAGAGAAGGGAAGCTACCTGCTTAATTAGAATTTCTGAGTTAGTAATTGAATGTTGACAATTGCCATCCATAATTTGGACAAAATAACATCAGGGTTATATTACTTTATGTATAAAAAGGTGGGTGGCTAGAAAGGTCTGGTGTGATAACACAGAATGGAAAAGGGAAAAGAAAGACACATTTTGGAAATAATTTTAAGGAGGGAGGAGAAGCCTGTGATAGAGGGGAACCCCCCAATGGTAAAAGGAACCGCCAATCAGGAAACTCCTCGTACTGCTGCAAGTCAACACCTCTTTGTGCAACTGACAGCCTTAGAAAGTTCTCTTGGTACTTAGGTGATGTTACTGGTCCTGTAGGCACAGGCAGGATTCAAACCCAGGTCTTCGGACTTCAAGGCTGGCTCTCCACTATGGCAGGCTGCCTGTAAGCCACAGACAAAATAATTACTAACTTTTGGCTACCTCCCTAAATTGGGCAAAGTCTTTATTATACAAAGGAAAGAACATTAGTCAACACATCTGAGGACAAAAGTTCAGATCCTGTCTCTGATGCTCACTGCCTGTATGACCTTGGCCAAATCACTTCCCTTCTCTAGCCTGTTTCCTCACCTGGAAAATGAAGGGGTTGGCCTAGATGATCTCTGAAGCACCTTGCAACTCTAGATGTATGAGGCTAAGATCTCATTTGATTCCCTACAATAACTCTCGGAGAGAGGTAAGGGATATGAGTGCTATTATCCTCATTTTACAGATGAGGAAATGGGATCAGAAAGATGGATGACTTTTTCAGGGTCACATAGCCAATGTCAAGAGGCAGAATTCAAACTCAGGGCTTAGCTTTGAGGGAAATCCCTCTTTACTAAGAGAGGACCCTGAAGAAGACTGGAGAGCTGGGACCAGAAAAGAAAGGAAAATGAAGCAAAATATTGAAAACAGGAAGTGATCCCCCACCATCTTTGCAGAGATGTGGAATGCTACAGAAAATGTCTGACTTTTTTTTTCTTGGACAGCTAGTTTTGCTGAAATGTTTTTTTCTTTAAAAAAATGTTCTTTACTATGAGGAAATGGCTTTCTAGGAGCATGATATATTGGAAAGTTCAGATAACGTAAAAACAAAAGACGTCAATGACAGTCTGTTTAAAAAAAAATTTTGGAGGTGAGAGAAAGGTGGCATGAAAAATGGAGAGATTAGCCAGATTCAGAATGAGCCCCAGTCCAAGATACACTTTACAAAAGAATTGAGAAGTCATTTCCTCTCTGGCTGAGAAGCCTTCCTCAGTCTGGAGAGAACAAGGAAGCTTGAGGGGATTGTGCCCAACTGGGCTTTTCAGAGATGCGCTAGGACAGTTACTCCTGTGTAAGCAAGTGACTCAGCTTCTCTGAGGCTTATCTGGAAAATGGGAATAATAATAGTAGCTACTGCTCAGTACTGTTGTGGGGGTCAGATATAGACGAGTCAACTCCTGTGATTTTGTTTATATGCAGAGGTCCTCTATGATTGTCACTGTTTAGCACAACATCTAAGATCTAGGACTGGATGGACATCAGGAGTCATCTAGTAGGAGCCCCCTCATTTTGCACATGAGGAGACTGAGGCCCAGACTTGCTCAGACTCACACAGGCAAATGGCAGAGCCAGGAACTCAGAAGACAAACCCAACAAACTTTTCAGCACATGCTAATGCTGCCTCTATCGGCAGTGACTGTCATGGTCCTGGGCATTTGTAAAGTTAGTA